AACAAAAAGGCAAAAGGCAATTGGACAATGGACACTTGGCAAACGACAAGGACAGACCGACGGACGTAGCGAGCAAGCTCAGCTACCTCGGCGTTGAAAGCCTATCGGATGCTGTAGAGCCGCTGGACTTGTGCCAGGGCCTACCAAAGTGTGCGATCGTCCTGGCCCCCAAAGTTGGGGTAAAACTGATTGCCCGCAAGAGGAACTGGACGACGGGCGTGCAGGATATAGCTGATGCCCTCGTGTCGGATCCAGTCCTCTACCTCTGCAATCCAGCAGAGTTCCCTGTCAGAACGCCCCTCTGACCGGATGGTTTTAATGCCGAGTTGCTTGCACTCGTTTATAATGTCAGATCGGTCGTCGATGAGACAATGTGCTTGGAGTGCGGAGATGATAGATGATTTGCCCTGCCTTCCGCAAGGATAGCGTGCCAGGTGCAATTCTCTAAACGGCAAACCTTCAGCGATCAATTGGCTAATCACGTGCTCAGCACCGGCTCGGGTGCTCTCAATCTTAGATTGGCCGGCGTATGACACAATGTGGAACTCGATCTGATTACCAGCAATCCTAGTCAATGTACGAAGCTTTTCAACTAGATGGGAAGACAATTCACCAATGGGGTTGAGAGCTTGGTCAATGGTATCGTGCCAGTCGATACAAACAACTATGTTGGATGTATTAACGTGGACTACCTTAGAGACTAAGTTGGGTTGGTGCTGGTAATGTCGCGGCACAGAGCCAGCGACCCCCTCTGGCCGATCTGGTGTTGGATCAGGTAACGGCCGCCCACGGACGTGGGGTGCAAGGCCGGATCCTGAGCTTGGTGCCTCTTGCTGTTGCTGTTGTCCTTCGGGATCAAGTGGAGGTGGATCTCGGGACGGTTGGCCAGCAGGTCTTGCCCTCTCGATTCCTGGCGGAGGAGGTTTTACGGGCTTGAGATTAGCTGGATTAGGGGGAACAGGCCTATTAGGTCTTGGGGGAATTACCACAGGTGCAGCAGGTGCAGCAGGTGCCGCAGGTGCAATATGCACAGGTGGATGTTTCCAAGGCAGATTCTTCTTTTTCTCTGGAGCTGGTGGTAAGGGTTCTGGCCTTTGGGGCGTGTCGGGGACAGCAGCCCCCTTTGCACGGATTGGCACAGGAACGGAACTAGCTCTTTTGCGAGACTTAGATGAAATCTTATTAGAAATTGGTACTTCCCTTCCCCTTGATGTTCTGGCAGCAACTGCGGGCGCAGTTTCGGCTGAGGGTGCTCTTGATCTGGATCGCGCAACAGGAGAGCCGGCGGGCTCTGATGCAGTCTCTGTCGCGACACGGGCTGTGTCAGCGACCCCAGTTCCAGCACTTTGCAAAGACTGCCTCCAGGGAGGATAAGCTGAACTACTAGAACTGCTTAATGGGGGAACAGTCAAAGATGGTACTTTAGGGGCTGCAGGTGGTGTTGATGCAGCAGAAACTGGATCTTTTCTGGGCTGTGCCGGCTTATCACGTTGTTTTTAGAGGTTCTTATGTTAGGGCGTTGTCTCTTTGGTGGAGACTCAATTGGACGGGCAGGGGTGCGCTCAGCGAAGCCAGCGTCGAACGGTTCTTGCTGGCCGACAAATGCCTGACCTGATGAAACAAACCTGGCGGTTCGAGTCTCAGCTGTTTCAGAGCCCTCAGATTCGGTATCGGGGTTATTGGTGGAAATATTATAGACACTATTGGGGTCTAAATTACTTGAACCAAGAACAGTCCGATGGGATCTAAGTGCAGGATCACGCCACAACGAGTCGGGAAGCTCGTGTGGGTTGACCCCAAGCTCTGGTGCCACGGCGTGAGGCACAATAAACGGCAAAGTCTGCGGCGCGTACGCGATCGGAGGATCAGCGACCCTAGCCCAGGTGCCAGCGGAGTCAATTCTAATTTCGGGGTAACCGTGTACTTGGGGTCTTAAAGCAAGAGGTCTTCTAGAAACACCGGTTATGGCACGGGCTCTATAAAGTTCTTGATTAAGTTCAATTCGTTCACGGGTTTCCCTTGGGACTAGATTGACAGGCAATGGCGGATTGGACCTAGTTCTTTTAGGCCTACGACGGCGCGTGGAAACCTCACGGCCGTGTTCAGTTGTGGTAAAGTCAGGGAATTCGGGTTCTGCTTCAGCCTCAACCTCAACTTCAACTACCTGGTCCTCCTCAAAAACTTCCTCTTCCTCCTCTTCCTCCACCCACTGCTCCTCTTCAGGCGGCGGATCGTTGGGATCCCCTGGAGCAGTCTCTTCTCGCGCCTCTGCTGGTTGGGAACTGCGGGCAGCGAGCTCCTGTGCAGTTGGCGGCGGATGAGATGGTGGTGGTGGTAAGGGTGGTTGTTTATGAGCGGGCGGACTAGGGGGAATGTTATTAGGTGGAGGTGGCAAACTTTGAATTCTATCTGCAAGGGTTGTGGCACTAGAATCAGGAGCTTTAGGCCTAGCTTTAGCTGGTGGCTTAGCAGGGCTAGCAACTGGGACTGGTGCTACGTCGCGCCCAAAGGCAGCGACCCCTTGAGAATCTGACTTTGGGGCTTGTGGGACTGGATGGACAGAGACAGTAACCCTTGGACGCGGTGGCACTGCTGGCTCAGGTGGCCTTCTCAAAGAAGGTTGCCAGTTCGGCGGTGGGTGCCCAGGCTCTTTGGGTCCTTGCTGGACCGGAGTCGGATCTGTGCCTCCACTTGCCGCGCCAGCAACGGGTGTTGCGGCAGCAGGCCTTACCGCTTTCGGACGGGGTTGCTGCTGTGGGCCTATGTATCTATAATACCTATCCCACTCTTCTGGGCGCGGGTGCTCTGCCCCTAAGATACGTTGGTTAATGATCCTTTTTGGGGGTAGATCACCAGAGTTTATCACTTGTTCGGCGTGTGAAGTACCTCTGCGCCTGTCCAAACCGTGGATGTGAGCCCACTCTTTGTAAGGGATGAGGATCTGGTAGGCTAAAGCTAAACACTGTGATGTTGGGAACTCCTCAACAAGTCTTGAATGAAGAGCTATCAACCAGCGAATGCTTTCGTCGGCTTGTTCGTAAGGAATCTTTCTTAACCAAAAGCCACCTACGATATCCCCTCCGGAGTTATGGTAAAGCCAATTTTGGTATGCCTCGAAGTCGTTCCACCAAGCTCGCTTTGCTTCTTGCCACCTGGTTGTGGCACCACCCCTGCTGGATCGAACCCTTGGTCGATGGGCTGTTGATGAACTAGCGGGGGAATGTCCTACTTGGATAGGATCGGCACCTGGGTCAGCAAGATTAGGGCTAGTTGGTGGTGGGACTATTTGATCGGGGCAACTAGTGTTGGCTTCTGTCGCGACACCGGATGTGTCAGCGACCGCAGGCTCAGGCACGGATGCAGATGGTTCGGATGCAACGGATGCTTCTCCTACTGGACCCGCCTCGTTGCCTAAACCCAAAAGATCGGCTGTCTCAACCTGCTGTTCGGCTTCTTCAACCTCGGCGTCTACGTGCTCTGAAGGTGATGGTTGAGGATCAGATTGAAAGTCTTCTTCCTTAGCTTGATCAAGGTCCGTGAAAGCTGCTTCTGCCGGATTGTCCGCGTCTGGAGGAGCTTCCAAAAATGTTTGATCTGAAGTTGACTGCTCAAAATCACCCTCTGTCGCGACGGGCTCGTCAGCGACCACCTCCGGAACACCAATTGCAGAAAGGACCGCGTTGAGCGACTCGGCCTCTTGAACCTCTTGTTTGACCTGGGTCAGTTCAAGTTCTCCAGAAGGCACGGGCGCAGCGGACCCCTCAGAAAGATCGGCCCAGCTTCTGGGCTCCTCCGCTACCGGGTCAACAGTCGGTGGAAGATTCTCTTCAACACCTTCTGCTTCACCAGCCGCTTCGGATCCGTCCGCTGGTGTTTCCGTCGCGACGTAATCGTCAGCGACTTCGTCCGACCCTTCTGTAGGCATGCAAGAGTGAAAGACAGTGAGCGATGCGAAACCAGGGGCCTAAACCAGTTGTGGTAGGAAAAGAAACCCCAAAAGGCAAAACAACCAAGAAAACAAGCCTTACGGCTGATAACCAGACAAACAGGGGGTCGAACCAGCCACCCAAAAGAAAAGGGGAAACTAGTCCGGCAAACCCTGCAACACAACATGCAAGCACACACTATTTTGTGCACTTGAGCCACAGCATCGCAAGCAGCAACCCTAAGACCCGGTTGTTGTTGGGTTAAGGGGCTCTTACTCTAACTATGACTACCTACATACCTAACGCATCTAGGCATGTGGTGCTACTACTGTACACAAGGTATTCGGAGTAACTATTTTGGGAATGTCGGACTCATAGCTACGGCATTACTACCTACACTGGACCTACTACCTATGCTATACATAGTGGGGCTCAGGGGTCGGTATATTTCAACTATCTATCTATCTATTTTTTATCTCTCTATCATCTACCATGGGGTACATTACAAACGCAATGAAAAACATGGAATACATTCTCTTTTTAGAATATATTGTTTGATTTATCTATAGGCACATTGCCTACATTTGGTAGACATAGATCCTATATACAGGCATATGTATGTAAATTCATGTGCATCTAATGCGATAGATTCTATATATACCTATAGGTAAATTACAATATGTATACATATATATATATATATGTACATCTCTCTGTCTCTCTCTCTGTCTCAACATTGGCCATCGCAAATGAGCTATAATCATATTTAAGTTTTGCTTTGTGATTCACGACTTCCGATCCACCTATCCGATCTATCCACACACCTGAAACTTGCATCATCCCATTTCTGATCAAGTCCCGTGTGGCTAAAAATCCACGGGACTTACCCGGTACCGTAATCACTATTGTGGCAATGGAAAACCACCACTTATAGATGGTTTTCCCATGGTTTCCCATTAAAACCTCATGAAAACATGTTTAAAACATTTTAAAACTAGGATTTCCCATTGGCACATTTGATTACCCAAAGGGTAAGTGACTTGCCAGGGGGAAACCTCCAGTGTGCCAGCCCGCCTGCTGAGACATCATGGCTGCAGCCGGTGCAGAGACTTTGCTGTTTTTCTTCATGGGGCCTCCCGGGGAAATCATTGGCTGCTTGGAGGATCTATCACCCCACGAATCGTATCTGGTTAGCCATAGGATTCATCAGGTGGAATGGGGTACAACAATTACACAATTGACCACTCAACCCATCCCACCAGTTTGTTCACAGAAAGGCGTTCCAACCTCTTCACAGAACAGCAGAATAGTGACCTCTGAACTATAGCAGCTTGGGTAACAGTTTCTTCGGGCAAAGCCTTACTTGAACATCTGCCAAGCGGTAGCGGTAGTTTTCAAGTGTCTATATCCAGAGTTGGGGAGCATCTTCTGCCCTGGTGGCTTGAAGTCATCTGATTGTGGGCCATTTATCGAGGTAAACCTGGGCTTGGTTTGTGTAGCAGACTCATGGTCCCTTTCTGAAAACATAAAGTATCTAAAACTGTCTCCCCATTTCTGTGACATAGACGCAGAATGTATGCAAACGGGGGCACGGTAAATTAAGAAACACATAAATATATTGATTAATATGTAGTGTATATCGGGTGTGTATATATATATGTGTGTGTGTGTAATATATATTATACATACACATATACATATAATATATGTATAGAAAGTCGCCATGAAGGACCCCTGCTCCACATGGTGACCTGTGAGACGAAGGCTCTGTCTCCAATGGCTCGCGGGTGGCAAGTGGTGCAGTTCGATTCACGTGCTGCGCTCCATGTGGGATTTGGATCATGCTGGATCTGTGCTGAAACTGCTGATGCTGAACATGTTTTAGCCAAGATTGCTACGGGCGCTAAAGAACTGCGGCCAGGTCCTACCCCAAAAAGAGTAGATTGCAGTGATTGCAGGATTTTTGTTTTGTCTGGTTTGATTGGCACCATTCTCCTAAAATTATTGTATTATCATTATTGTATGCTTCTGTAAGCTTCACTCACTCACAAACACATCTGCAGAGCGTTTAGGCCAGGCCACCTCCCAGTGGTCCACCTTCTTAAAGTTCAACATCACACAGTTTCAACATGAATAAACCATCCCTAATATTGCCATAAATGGGTCAATGGGTGGCACAAACCATCCTAAATTGGAGGTTTATTATTGGATTTGCGATTTACGACCTGAAATTCCGTTCTAGTTTCCCTCAAAATCAGTAGATCTCACTACACTTGATCACAATTTGATCAGTACAAGGTGAATAAGCCCAATTTTTTCGATCTGGTTGGTGGTTGACCTACCCCTCTGAAAAATATGAGTTCGTCAGTTGGGATGATTCTTCCCAATATATGGAAAAAATAAAATACATGTTCCAAACCACCAATTTGCCCCTCACTTCACCCCAAAAAAGTCACCACCGAGCCACCAAGTCCGCTTCGTGCCGGTTCGACCGGGCCATGTTGGCCTTGTCGATTTCCTCATAGTCCCCGTTTCCTGTGTCATACAAGCCTCGCCACTGGGTCCACTTTGCAGAACTCAAATCATCAGTTGATCACCTCCGAAAATGCGAAAACTCTGTTCTATACACATTGAATGATTGGGGTCCAACGTTTCATGACCGATCGTACACTTTTCACATACATGCGCATGCAGTTGTGAATATATATATATATGTGTGTGTAAACTGTATGTATATATAATATACATATACATCCCCAAAAATAGAAGAGTAGAGCTCTACTAAAATAGTGATGATATATTGCTCATTCTTTTGGGGGTTACTCTATACATATATATATATACGGACACTACATTTAAATAATTTTAAACATACGGATTTTAAAATATACGAGCATATTTTAGACTACCTCTGGGAAAGTTTTCCTTGGACCGCCTGGCCATTTAAACATACGGAATCCAATTCATTTAAACATATTGTAACTACATTTAAATATACGAACTGGCATTTTATACTACCTCCTGGGCCTCGCGGTCTGGCCCGCCCTCCACATATTTAAATGTCGTTACCGTGTGTGTGTATGTATGGTATGGTATGGTATGGTGTGGTGTGGTGTGGTGTGGTATGGTATGGTATGGTTGGGTATGGTTGGGTATGGTTGGGTATGGTTGGGTATGTATGGGTATGTATGGGTATGTATGTATGTATGTCTGTATGTATGTCTGTATGTCTGTCTGTCTGTCTGTATGTATGTATGTATGAATGATTATGTATGTATGTATGTATGTAATGTAATGTAATGCAATGTAATGTAATGTAATGTAATGAATGCAATGCAATGCAATGCAATGCAATGGAATGCAATGGAATGCAATGGAATGCAATGGAATGCAATGTAATGCAATGTAATGCAATGTAATGCAATGTAATGCAATGTAATGCAATGTAATGTAATGCAATGTAATGCAATGTAATGCAATGTAATGCAATGTAATGCAATGTAATGCAATGTAATGCAATGTAATGCAATGTAATGCAATGTAATGCAATGTAATGCAATGTATGTATGTATGTATGTATGTATGTATTTAACGTAATGTACTGTACTGTAATGTAATGTATGTATGTATGTATGTATGCATTATGTTTATGTAATTACTATGTTCGTGTATCTCAGTAACTATGTGTGAAATCATTGCAAATGGCACAAACTTAGCAAAGCTCCGCTTTGGCCCCTGACGCATGGGCGTTTGGAAGTTCCACTTCTGATCAGGGGCGTCGATATAGTCCTGTAGCAAAGTGGACTGAAGCCATTCACCAAGCATTTCAATCCCCTGTTTCTTGGTTGGTTCCTTCTTTCTTGCTGTTGAAATAATTACTTAGCTATGAATTGGGTTGTAAAATTCATGAAAAAAGTTGGTCAAATGACAATTCTGGCTATATCCCAATTGTTGAGGTCCTCGATCTTTGCATCCATGATCTTCACAGTGTCCTCAGGACATCCATGGGAATGATGGAAGACGAGAAATCCGGTCGTAAAATCCCATGATAAATTACCATTTGGCTGGTGGAATCCTTTTTTTTTGAAATAAAAAACTAAATCCAAATTCTCAACTAGTTGCTGAATCGGCTTTCAAGGTCTTAATGGGATTTAAATGGGATTTCTGTGGGGGTTTTGGATGTAACTAACCAACTTGATATGATATTTTAGTGTGTCTGAAAACGGGGGATTGACTAGCCAAAGTTGCATTTTTAATGGGAAATTGTTGTTAACTATTAGATGTTTTTGGCATCCCATTTTCAGGCCCTGAAAATTGAAGTCAAACTCACTGATATCTACAGAACAATTTAGATCGATTGGATCACACACACATACATACATACATACATACATTACATTACATTACATTACATTGCATTACATTACATTACATTACATTACATTACATACATACATATATACATACATACATACATACATACATGTATGTGCCTATATATATATATATATATAAATCCCGGTTTGAATTTCACCTATGGGGTCGAGACCTCAGTTTGTACCAAAGTCTCAAAATTCCTAACCTCAGCCATTATAAAATGATGGTTCCCAACCTCCAGAGGATTGCGGAAAATGACAACTTGATACTGCTACAAAATGAAGATTGGTTTTTATCATGAGGTTACTTGAAGGGGAAATTCCACCACTACAAAGTGAAGATTGGTTTTTATCATCAAGTTACTTGAAGGGGACACTCCACCACTGCAAAATGAAGATTGGTTTTTATATGTTTTTATCATCAGGTTACTTGAAGGGAACACATCCGAAGGGCAACTTCCCTTGCTACAAAATGAGATTGGGTTTTTACATGTTGTCTTCCGATGGGCAAATTCTCTTGCTACAAAATGACTTTCGATTTTTAAAGGTCTTTCAACTACCGAAACGTTAACAACTTATAAAATGCAATTCCCAAGCTGTGGGGACAAAATGCCTGGCCCATCCCCATTTTTTCTTCTTAATTTAAGCCCGGAAATGCCCTTGAAACGGGGCACAAGGCCTCCCATTCTGTAGTTGAAATTCGAACGGGGATATAATATATATATATATATGGGCACATGAGGCCATGAAATCCAAAATCATTCAAAATTGATACTAATCACTGAAAATAGCTATCTGGTCCCTGAAACGTACCGTTTCATATCTGAATTCTTGGCGTAAATGCCTGATCTAGGTTGTTGCACAAATTTTGTCTGCATGAAAGTGGATGACATTGAGCACGTGGCAAGCCATGTTGCTTCTGTTGCCAGATCAGCTGCACAAAGGACAGCAGGAAGTGAAATTCACCCGCAACATGGGGATGGTACATAGCTAAGAAGGGCATAGATTGGAATTCAAGTGAAGAAAAACGTGTTTTTTCCTCAAGAAATGTGGGCTCAATCAACAAACATGAGGATCTAATCACGAGAAATGAACCAACAAACATGCACCAAAACAATGGAAATTCAACCCAACATGAGGATTCAACCAAAACCAACTGAAATTGGGACTTACCCTTGGGTAATCAAACATAGCAATAGAAAATCACCTCTAAATGAAGGCTTCAATGGGAAAATCCCCCGGGGGATCCTTGGGGATTCCCAATTGCCATGTGTGGACATGAAACCAACAAACAGCGGCCAATAGCATTGCAATCAAGTAGGCATCCAAATAATTTCAACAGATCAACCGTCAACAGAGCAGTGATGGTTCAAGTGGTTGATTGGTCCTTCCGCATGCTTCCACCTTCAACCAATTCCGCTACCATTCGACTTCAATGTGACTTCAATCGGCAATTTCTTCCGGGACCAAGCAAGAAAAGGTTTGAATTATAGCCAATTAGGAAATTCGGAAAGATAAGCCCCAAAGTAATTAACAAATCAACGCAGATCATTGCTTGACATGGGCACCCCCTTGACAAGGCAAGGGTTTGTACATCCTGGGTTTCCATTACGTAGCATCACCTGGGAACTGAAGAAAAAAGGGTCAACCGGAGCCGAGGTTCATCATTCACCACCTGACTGTCATAGAACGTGACGTTCCTTAGCCATGTAGCAGTATCTAATCAATTTTTGCGCCCATTTGAGTGGTCAG